AGCTGACACACAAACATCAGAGAAGGAGAGATAGACACAGAGTTCTGTGGCTCTGAACCCCCCAGCTCCGGCTGTGCCTAAATCCCAGCTTCATTCATTCTTACTGTCCCAACATTTGGTTTCTAAAATTTGCTGAGTTTGCTTGCCATTGTACATTTAATGTCAAACACAGAGTCCAGCAATTCAAATAAGCCAGATTAGATAGATCTACATCTAGATCTGTGTCTTTATCTATTTTTATATCTCTATATCTGTTGAAAGAATGTTGAATCACATGAGTTGCACCAGTAATTCCTATACATCCCCCTTTTTATCTAAACTGGATTTCGGCCACTTTTAACAGAGTTCTAACCTACACGGTAACCTAAAACAACTACTGCAAACATTACTCAGAAACCCCTTTTATTTTTCTAAATTGGAGGAAAACAATTGCAATCAACAGTGGCTTGTACTGGGGTATTGGCAGTGGACATAGAAGTTGATGAACCAGAGATACATTATGGACTCAGGAGTCTCAATAATCCAGGAGAAGATTGATGTCTTTGTGGATTATCTAGGCCAGTAATCCCCAAACCTTGGTAGCGAGCTAACAGAATCATCTAGATAGTCACCAAAACAGATTGCTGAGGATTCAGTAGCCTGGGGTAGACCCCAGGAGTCCGTACTCTCCACAACAGGAGCCCCAGAGAAATTCTGATACACCTCCAGGCTTGAAACAACCATAGATTTTTGCCATTATTCCAGGTCAGCTTTATTTCCACAGCCCAGAAGATCTAGGTTAACTGCTCACATGGCCCAGTCAGCATGGGTTAAAAATGTAGACTAATCTCAAAGCAGTAACACCACATTAGGAAGCAGCAATGGGTGTCCCAGATTCTGGCCTAGTGACAAGCAAATTCAAGCCCCTGCGGCCAATCTAACCTCAAACAGCGGGAGTGCTCGGAGGAAATGAGATCTTGCATTCAATTGACTTCTCTAACTAACCTTGTTTTGGATACTTAACTTTGTTGAGACAGTTTTCTAAAAGTGTGCAGTTTTGTCCTTTTTTTTTTTTTTTTTTTTGAGACAGTCTCACTCTGTTGCCCCGGTTAGAGTGCTGTGGCATCAGACCAGCTCACAGCAACCTCACACTCCTGGGCTAAATCTATCCTACTGCCTCAGCCCCCCACACAAACCCTGAGTAGCTGGGGCTACAAACATGTGCCACCATGCCTGGCTAATTTTTTCTATTTTTGGTAGAGACGGGGTCTTGCTTGCTCAGGCTGGTCCAGAACTCCTGAGCTCAAATGCTCCGCCCACCTTGGCCTCCCAGAGTGCTAGGATTACAGGTGTGAGCCACCATGCCCAGCCAGTTTTGTTTTTTTTGTAAAAGGCAGAATGGTAGGCACATGTGAATCTTTGATAATTGGGGTCCTTCTTAGTTTGAGGATTGTCTTCATGAATATAGTCTGGAACTGGGATTGGTGAGTTGGCTGAAACAGCAGGCTCCCAAGGCAGAAGCTGAGGGGATGGGGACTTCAATGCGCCCCACGCCCTAGGGTCCCCAATAGTGCCTCCCACGTGAGCCACCACAGATAAATATATGTGCTACCCAAAAATAATACATTTGTGTCTGCTAAGGGAAAAAGGGTTTTAAGCTACCCTAAACAAGCATATAGTCTAAGTAAAAGAGTTGCTTAATCTCCCCTATTGCTGCCCCCAAAATCCTCTTTTATGAAAACTCCAAAACCATCACAGGCTCTAGGAAGGATTTGATGCCAGTCCAAATTCTCTTCCATACATAGTGGTGTAAGTCTAAAATTCTACTAAGTTTCTTCTGCTTCCAGCCAAGATGGACTAACAGAGACCCGATATACCTTCCTATCTGGAACAACCAAAACTGGACAAAATATAGGCAAAAAAAAAAAATTAGCTTTCAAGATACTAGACATCAGGCAACAAAAGACAGTGACCCCTGACAGGTGGGAAATAATCAAGGTGAGACCTAATGATTGCCTCAGTTTACTTCCTTGTAAAAGTTTCCAGGCCACAGTATAGGGTGGGGATAATAGATACTGGTTGTGGTGTCCTGGACGTATATATATGATAAAACATATATATATATATGCAGTTTTTTCTATGTTAATCATACCCTAATAAAGCAGTTAATTTTTTTTTTTTTTTTTTGAGACAGAGTCTCATTCTGTTGCCTGGGCTAGAGTGCCGTGGCGTCAGCCTAGTTCACAGCAACCTCAAATTTTTGGGCTCAAGTGATCCTCCTGCCTCAGGCTCCTGGGTAGCTGGGACTACAGGCACGTGCCACCATGCCCAGCTAATTTTTTCTATTTTTAGTTGTTTGGCTAATTTCTTTCTATTTATAATAGAGATGGGGTCTCGCTCTTGCTCAGGCTGGTCTAGAACTCCTGAGCTAAAGCAATCCTCCCACCTCGGCCTCCCAAAGTGCTATCTTTTTACAGGCATGAGCCGACGCGCCCAGGCAAAGCTGTTAAAATTAAATTCTGTGAATAGGGCTTCTTTCCTGGAGCTGTTGCTTTGATACCTGCTAAAATGGAAATCCCACCGAGGGAGTAACCATTTTAAATCTGTATTATTAAATTATCACACTGTGGTTTCAGTAAAAACTCAAGCACAAAATGTTATAGGGAGATTGAAGATGCTTACTGGGTGCTATGGTTTGAAAATTTGACCCCTCCAAAACTGAAGTTGAAATTTAATCCCTTATGTGGCAGAATTGAGAGGTGGGGCCTTTAAGAGGTGACTGGGTCCTGTGGTCTCTGCCCTCAAAATGCCAATAGCACCCCTTGAGAAAGCCTGGTAGAAGGAATGCAGCTGCACTGGCTGTCCAGCCCTTCCCCAACACCAGCATTACAAAGGAGTCTCAATGTCTGTTTTGAGCTACGGCTTGCAATACTAAATAGAACACTTACTAGTCAATCCTATCTGAGCCAGTACGTTTTTCTAATGTTTTAGCTTCAAAGCTTTGAGAACTCTGGCAGTCACCCTGAGATCATTTTTATAGCTAATTCCTTAAGCTCTAATTTAAGCACCTTTAAGAAAATTACAGTTACTATAGCCAACTTTCCACCAATTTTCTTGTCCAGGATAATTGGTTGTATGGTTAAAATTCTATAAAGAAAATTGGTAATGTGTTCCAGTAGGGGGAAAAAAAAAAAACTTCCTAAACTTTTTTTTGTGTGTGTGTGTGAGACAGGAAGTTACAATAATGAAATTTAAGTTTAGAAGAGACCTTGCAGATCCTCTTGTTCAAACAACGAGAGGTCAGAATGAGAGAAAGTACAGTGAGAAAAGGCCCCTGTCCAGCCACTTAAGCAATGCAGCCTGGTACACCATAGGTTTGTGAATACTCGCCAGTTGGGAGTGCACTTTGCAATGCTTTCCTAACCTGGATAATTCCCCCTTGCCATGACCTGGTTTTCAGGGCCCCAATTCACATTCATTTTCTCCATGCCTATGGAACCCTTGACTGGCAGCTCCTAGAATCCTATGCTCCTAACTTAGTAAACTCCTTTTTAAATTTACACCCAGACTTCACTCTCACCTTCCAGACTGAAATTTCAACTGCAGATGAACTTCTCCACCATGTGAGGCCCATTAGGACCTCAAGCTTAATTTGTCTAAACCTGGGCTTAATCCCTCCCGCCATACCTATTTCTTTGAAGGGTGTTACCATTCCATCACCCCAGATTGAAACCACAATGGTTTCTTTCTCCCTCTCCTATTTTCACTCCATCGCCAGTCTTGTGGATTCTGCCTCTGAAGTGTCTCCTCCAAATTCCACCCCTTTCTCTTTATTCCTGCTACCACAAGCCCAATTCAGATTCTTATGACTTCCCACCAATCTTTGGTCTATCCCCACCGCAATCTTTTTTTTTTTTTTTTTTTTTTGAGACAGGGTCTCTCTCTGTCACCCAGGCTAGAGTGTGATTGTAGCTCACTACAACCTCGAACTCATGTGCTTAATTGATCCTCCTTCCTCAGCCTCCCAAGCCAGTACTACAGGCACACACCACCATGCCTGGCTAATTTTTTTAATTTTTTGTAGAGCCACAACCTTGCTATGTTGCTGAGGCTGGTTTCAAACTCCTGGCCTAAAGTGATCCTCCCACTTTGGCTTCCCAAAGCACTAGAATTATAGGCATGAGCCACTATACCTGGCCTGCTTCAATCCATTTTAAACACAATCATCAGATTTTTTTTTTCTAATAATGGTTTTTATCATATCATTCTCCTGGTCAAAACTTTCTATGGTTTTCTTATATCCTATGAAATGAAATGTAAAGCCTTCATCTGGATTTTTAAGACCCTCCAAAGTATGGGGCCAATTTCACTTTCAGGTTCTATTTTTAAATCACGCTGGACTGCTTACTGTTCCTAATACATGTTCTGTTTGTTTCCTGCCCTCTATCCCTTCACTCTTTTCTCCAACTGCAATATCCCACCTCCATGTGCACTATTCGTTTACCAACTATCTTCTGGCATCTTGACTTCTTCCCACAACTGAAGATAATCTTTCCATTCTTTAACTCTCTTTGACAAATTGCTCAAACTCATTTAGGACATTTAGCATGTATACTTTGCATTATTTTTATTTTTGCAAAGGCTGTATATCGTGGTTAGAACCAGCTTCTCAAAGATCAGATCTCTGCCTTAATCATCTTTGTATACAATAGGGCCTAACATGGTACCCTCCACAGAGCTGGAGCTAATAGAGGGTTTTGAATTTAATTTTAATCAGTTATTTATCTATATTGTAGCATCTATATATTCAGTTCACATGAGAAAAATTATGCTTTACTGTTAACTAATTGGATTTGAATATAGGAGAAAGTTCTCTCAAAATATTTTCATTATTGCATATATGAGATTAATAGAACTCAGTCCAAAGCCATTAATGGAGAAAAAGCATTAAGAAAAACAAGTCACAATGTAAGGTCAGTTTTGATCAGCAGTTAAAGACATACTCCAAATAACAATCTTACCTGAGAGAGGATTCATTCAGACTTCTAGGTTCTTTGCCTCCCCAAAAGACAGAGCCATTATTCTCTTCCTTGACTTAAAAAAAAAAAAAAGGGTTATTCGGTCATTAATTAAATAATGAAGAAGACCTAGTCGCATGTACTGATTTGATGACTTCATAAATCCTCACAAAAACTTGGCAAGTCCAAAATTGCACACTGGGCAGTATGATGGAGCAAAAACAACACTGGCTTTGAAATTAAAACATGTGCTTAAGCTCAGACTCTTCCAATAACTTTATCGCTGTGGCTTCAGAGTCTTAATTTGTAAAAATGAGGATGATAATTCTGTGAAAGAAAATGAGGTTAATGTACATAAAAAATGACTTATGTGATGTCTGGCAGAGTAGGTATGCAGTAAACATTAGCTTAAAGTAAAAATCAAAAAACCAATCATAACTTAACATCAAGAAAACTATCATATCTTTCCCATTATTTTGTGTATTTTGTTTATTTATTTTGGGGAATAAGTAATAACAGTGTCTAATAAGTATTGTGAACAAGAACCAAATTTACATTTCCATAAACTACTGCAAGAGGTCAGTATTGGCTGCACAGACTCAGTCCCCAGTGGAAACCCAAGAGTTCCCTGCCTAACTTCCTTCCCATCCCTGCAGAAGAAGAGCTAGGAGAGTGAAGGATGCAAGCACTATCCACAGAGCAAGGGAGGGAAAGACGAATGCCCTTGCTCCCACAGAGATGTCCTTTCAGAGATTTCCCTGGCTCTCTCAACTGTTTGCTTTCTTGGCTTGTGTGCTTCACTTTCCTCCTCCTACTCTCTTTTTTTTTCAGTTTAATTTTCTGATGAGGTAAAATTTACAAAAAATGAAATGCAAAATCTCAAGTGTACTTTCACTGAGTTAGACCCATTTTGTTTTGAAGTGTTCTGTGCAGCTCTTATCCCTTACTTTTGTGTGTCTGAGAGGAGCCCGAGACCCGGCCACGTTTGGGAGAAAGAACTCCCTCACTTTAGAGGGCCAAAGACAGTGTGGGATAGGGTCTACAGAGACATGGGGGCCACAGGCCATTATGGCTAACTCTAGTCTTAGGCATAAGAGGTCAGCCCAGGCCGGGCGCGGTGGCTCACGCCTGTAATCCTAGCTCTCTGGGAGGCCGAGGTGGGTGGATTGCTCGAGGTCAGGAGTTCGAAACCAGCCTGAGCAAGAGCAAGACCCCGTCTCTACTATAAATAGAAAGAAATTAATTGGCCAACTAATATATATATACAAAAAAAAAAATTAGCCGGGCATGGTGGCGAATGCCTGTAGTCCCAGCTACTTGGGAGGCTGAGGCAGGAGGATTGCTTGAGCCCAGGAGTTTGAGGTTGCTGTGAGCCAGGCTGATGCCACGGCACTCACTCTAGCCTGGGCAATAAAGTGAGACTCTGTCTCAAAAAAATAAAAAAATAAAAAATAAGAGGTCAGCCCAGCCCCTTAATGTGCAGCAAAGCTTGTCAACATCAGAGACCACCCAGGGATTTGAGGCAAAAGGCCTGATGAAAAAAAGCATTCTTGGGGAAACTACAGCTGCAGGAGGTGGCTGTTGGAAGAGTCTTACAGTGGTTGCTATGGTCTGAATGTGTATGTCCCCCCAAATTCATACAGTATTAAGAGGTAAGGCCTTTGGAAAGTCATTACGTCCTGCCGTCACGAATGCCATTGGTGCCCTTGTAAAAGAGGTGGGAGGGAGTGCCTTGGTCTCTTCTGCCCCTGTCCTCACACAGTGTGAGGACACAGCATTTGTCCCTTCTGCCATGTGAGGATATAGCAAGAAGATGCCACCTTTGTGGGGATTTTTGTTTGTTATTTATTTATTTTTTTTTTGAGACAGAGTCTCGCTTTCTTGCCTAGGCTAGAGTGAGTGCCGTGGCGTCAGCCTAGCTCACAGCAACCTCAAACTCCTGGGCTCAAGCGATCCTCCTGCCTCAGCCTCCCGAGTAGCTGGGACTACAGGCATGCGCCACCATGCCCGGCTAATTTTTATATATATATATATTAGTTGGCCAATTAATTTCTTTCTATTTTTATGGTAGAGACGGGGTCTCGCTCAGGCTGGTTTTGAACTCCTGACCTTGAGCAATCCGCCCGCCTCGGCCTCCCAGAGTGCTAGGATTACAGGCGTGAGCCACCTCGCCCGGCCTGTTTGTTATTTAAAGAGGTTTATTCTGAGCCAAATGTGTGTGACTGGCCTGGAGCACATGGCCTCAAGACGTCCTGAGAAAACGTGTCCACTGTAGCTGGGTTACAGTTTGGTTTTGTGCGTTCACGGAGACTGGAATTACATGTAAGAGCCCAAGTCAACAGGTGGGGGGTGTACATTGGTTTGGCTCGAAAAGGCAGGACATCTAGCGGTGGGGGGTTACAGGTTATAGATGGGTTTAAAGATTCTTTGATTTGTGATTGGTTAATGAAATGAAGCTTTCCCCAAAGGTTTGGAATGTTGTTGTTTTTTTTGAGACAGAGTCTCGCTTTGTTGCCCAGGCTAGAGTGAGTGCTGTGGCGTCAGCCTAGCTCACAGCAACCTCAAACTCCTGGGCTCAAGCAATCCTCCTGCCTCAGCCTCCCAAGTAGCTGGGATTACAGGCATGCACCACCATGGCCAGCTAATTTTTTCTATATATATTAGTTGGCCAATTAATTTCTTTCTATTTATAGTAGAGACAGGATCTCACTCTTACTCAGCCTGGTTTCGAACTCCTGACCTCGAGCAATCCACCTGCCTCGGCTTTGTTTTAACTTAAGGTAAGGATGTCTGTTAAGCAGAGATAAGCCGTGGGACACACACTCAGATTCAAATGATCTGTTAAGTAAATGGATGGCCTACAAGTGTGGTTTAAGCTTTGTCCTGTGTAGCCTTAGGCCTGTTGATGAGTTACAAAGGATAGCTCCAAGAAGGGGGCGGGGAGCATGATGGAGGTGTGTCAGACCTCCTTTCTCATGGCCAGCAACTCACCTTTAGGGTTTTTCTGGGGTCCCGTTGGCCAGGAGTGGGTCCATTCAGTCAGCCGGGGGACTTAAGGTTTTATTTTAGTTCACAATTCCTCCCTTTTGGCCACAATCTGCCAGAGGCAGCATTGATAGCCAAACTTTTATTTTGTGCCATTGTTGCCAGGGCAGTGTGGCTACCTGCCCTGTGTCCATCCAGGCCCTCGGTGGGACCCCAGTGGCCAAGGGGACTTAAAAGGGCTTACAGCCAATTAAATGTTCTAGGCCAGGCAGGAGTAGAGTTGGACAGGCACTCATCAATCTTTTAAAACCTTCTAGGAAGATGCCATCTTTGAAGCAGAAAGCAAGCCTTCTCCAGACACTGAATGATCTGGTGCCTTGATCTTGGATGTCTCCAGAACTATAAGCTACAAATATAGTTGTTGTTATAAATTATCCAGTCTAAGGTATTTTTATAGCAGCAGGAATGGCCGTCTGTGATTTTGTCTTCCTAGCACTGCCCGTTTTTTGAAGAACTACCCTCTTCCTACAGTTACCATGAAGGCCCTAATCCTTAAAAAACAAGAAAAGGACTTTGCTACTTCACTGAAACAAGTGATTATGTTTGTTAAAATCTTATTCCTGCAGGGAAAACTGTCAAGCTTCCATGTGTAAAAATAACCACTCAACTTGAGAGACCCATCGGTGCCTCATGATTTTAGTCACTAGTTTTAGAAAATGTCTAGGTTTTAGGTTAAAAAAACATACACACACACACACATACACACACACGGTTGTCCCTCAGTATCCATGGAAGATTGGTTCCAGGACCTCCTACAGATACCAAAATCCAAGGATGCTCAAGTCCCCAGTGTAAAAATAGTGTAGTATTTGTATATAACCTATGTACATCCTCTGTATACTTTAAATCATCTCTAGATTACTTATAATGCCTAATACAGTGTAAGTGCTATGTAAACAGTCATTACACTATATTGTTTAAGGAATAATGACAAGAAAAAAGTCTGTACATATTCAGTACAGATGCCCTTTTTTTTTTTTTTAAGAGACAGGCTTTCGCTATATTGCCCAGGCTGGGGTGCAGTGGCCATTCACAAGTGCAGTCATCACACACTACAGCCCTGAACTCCTGGGCTTCAGCCATCCTCCTGCCTCAGCCTCTTGAGTAACTGGAACTACAGGCATATGCCACCATGCCTGGCTTTTCCTCATATTTTTGATCTGAGGTTGGTTGAATCCATAGATGCAGAACTCCCTGATATGGAGGGCTGACTATCTATCTATCTATTCAGTTGACCCTTGAGCAGTATGGTTTGAACTGCTTAGGTCCACTTATATGTGCATTTTCTTTCACCTCTGCTACCCCTGAGACAGCAAGACCAACTCGAACTCTTCCTCCTCCTCCTCAGACTATTCAATGTGGAGTTGATGAGGATGAAGACCTTTATAATGATCTACTTAATGAATAGTAAAATATATTTTCTCTACCTTATGGTTTTCTTAATATATTTTTCTCTAGCTTACTTTATAGTAAGAATACAGTCTATAATACATACAAAATATGTGCTAATTGTTTATGTTATCAGTAAAGCTTCTAGTCAACAGTAGGCTATTAGTAGTTAAGTTTTCGGGGAGTTACAAACTGCACATGGATTTTCGACTATGCAAAGGTCAACCCCTGCATTGTTCAAGGGTCAATGGTAGAGAGATATATATAACTTTGGTTCAGTTTACATTTCACTAAATTATGTTTCATTCTGGTTTAGGGGATCATCTATTTAGCTTCATACCAATATTTAAAAATATACCACTAAAGCCTTTAAGGTCTTTTCTATGATTCTAGAGCTGCAGTGAATATTTATTAATAATTAATGTTAATAATAATATTATACTAATAATATAATAATAATATTAATATTCATAATATTAATATCAGTAGCCTCTAGCCACTTGTGGCCATTTAAATTTAATTAAATTGAATTCAGGCCAGATGCAATGGCTCATGCCTGTAATCCCAGCACTTTGGGAGGCTGAGGCTGAAAGATTGCTTGAGGCCAGGAGTTCAAGACCAGCCTGGGAAACATAGTGAGACCCCCATCTTTACAAAAAATTTAAAAATTAGCCAGGCTGGTGATGTGTGCCCATAGTCCCAGCTACTCGGGAGGCTGAGGTGAAAGGATCACTTGAGCCCAGAAGATGAAGGTTACAGAGAACTAGGATCACACCACTGCACTCCAGCAATACCCTGTCTCTGATTTAAAAAAAAAATTAAATTTAGTTATTCAGTAGCATTACTCACATTTAAAGTGGTCAATGGCCACAGGTGGCCAATGGCTACTATATTAGTCATAATTAGACTAGATATAGACTATCTCCATCATTGCAGAAAGTTCTATTGGATAGTGCTGTTCTCTAATGCACGGGAAACTAAGTGGCTAATAACCCAATCCATTCAAAAGCTTTAGCTAGTCATACAGTTATACTACCGTCACTCTATTCCCATCAGCATTGTTCATTTAGAGTTTAATAGTCATCCTCTTTCAGCTAAATGTAAAAAGTGCAATTCATAAAGTCCTAATTGTGGCCCCTATAAGAACACATACATACTAAAGAGAAAGGCCTCTTTTTCTCTACATCACTAGAAAAATTTGGCCTAATTGAGAATCCTGTTAAAAGTGTGATGATTTAAACTAAGTATTTTTACTATAAATGATTTGTGATTTTGATCTTCCTTTGTTCAGATGATCAAGTTGATTGCAGCGTGCACACCTTTTCCACATGATAAAAATATTCCCTAGGCTTTCACCCAAGAGGTTTGGACCTAGTCCTAATAATTACCTTTATTTAAATGCTCAGTAGTTAATGCATGCTGCTTCTACAGGCATGACATCATCATCATTAACATTAAAGATTTTAGTAATGACTATTGTCAAATAGATGGTCAGACAGGTTTGAGACTATCTCTTGCTTTGAGACCACATATTGCAGAATGTCTAGGAGGTGAACCACTACGTCCTGGGTAAACAGCAATGCCTAACCCAGAGAACAAGCAGCTTGGAGGAGAACAGAAAATATAGAGCATCGCAGTTAGCATGATGAGAAGGGGGAATGTTTTTTGTCCTGTAATGTGTGCTATGGCTCCTTGTGACAGTGGCAGTTTTGTGTTGCCCAAAGCCACTGCATAAAAGTGTCAGATGTACCTTTTGGGGTGAAAGCAAAGAACAGGTTGGGGCAGGTGTCATCCTATGAATAGCCATGCCCATGAACATAAGATGAACTCTTCACTGCTTTTAACATCATTTGCAAAGTTTCTAGGAATTTACATTTTATAAAATTTCCACCTCTTTTACTACATTCTTTTTTCATGTGTGTATTTATCTTCTTGTACATGTTGAAAAAAAATTGAAGAATAATTATGCTTGTGGACAAGGATAAATATGCATTTAAGGCAACCAACACCGGTTAGATATCCTAATTAGTGTGACAAGAGACCTGGTGAGCAACCAGGGATTTGATAAGTTTGCTAATTACAACAACTTCTACAAACAGTTTCCAAGCCATAGCGTGACAGTGTGCAAAGATGCTCGTCCATGAAAGTGTACAAACATCACACAATTTTCTCACACTCCGTAGCTATTCAATACTGCAAGAGGCTCTGGGTCTGACTTAGAATGAAGTGCAGTGGAGAGGAATGTGCTGCTGTGGGCTGGTCTAGCTACACGGCTGGATGGCAGAAGTAGAGGGCCTTTCGGGAGCTTTCTCAGACCTTCACTCTTCCCCTTCTTCCTCCACGCTAATGGTGCAATCTTAATGGCCAACTCCATTAAGACGGCCATCCCAGCCTTGCGCCCAGCACTGCCTACATTATTTCACACAATACAACAACTCTGTGAAGCTAGTAATGGAGATGAGGAAGCCGTGGCTCACAGTGGTTAAGTGACTTGCAGGTCACACAGCCAGGAAATGTGAGAGCCAAAATCCAAACCTGGACTTAGCAGAATCCAAAGTCTATGCTCTTTTTCTTTGCTTTTCACCAACTACCAATTACAGGGATAGACACCTAAAAGGGCTCATAGACCTGAATCTATAGATCTGTAGGTATATCTGAGCTGTTTTTACTCACAACACTTTTTTTTTTTTTTTTTTTTGAGACAGAGTCTCACTTTGCTGTCCAGGCTAGAGTGAGTGCCGTGGCGTCAGCCTCGCTCACAGCAACCTCAAACTCCTGGGCTCGAGTGATCCTTCTGCCTCAGCCTCCCGAGTAGCTGGGACTACAGGCATGTGCCACTATGCCCGGCTAATTTTTTATATATATATATCAGTTGGCCAATTAATTTCTTTCTGTTTATAGTAGAGACGGGGTCTCGCTCTTGCTCAGGCTGGTTTTGAACTCTTGACCTAGAGCAATCCACCCGCCTCGGCCTCCCAGAGTGCTAGGATTACAGGCGTGAGCCACCACGCCTGGCCTCTGCATTCAGAATTGAGCTCAGTTCTATACTTAGGTCTCTTTCCCCTATTGCAAAAGTCCTAACAAAATCTGTTTTCACCACTTTACTATTCAGTTATGGTTTTTTGGACAGTGGATATAGTTCCAAAAAATAATTTTGAATAAAGAGTGAATGCTGTTAATAACCATAGTAAACTGTAATTATCAGTGCAGAGCCTGTGGCTTTCCTTGCTGGTGGGAGGCCCAAGGATCACAAAGATCCTGTCAAGGAGATCCTAAAGCCAGGTTCACAATCTTGCCAGTAACCGTCTGCACTTCTTCACCAGGTTTTTCATTAAAATCTATGGATGTTAATAAGATTCTTAAAATTAAACAAGAACTGACCAAATGAAGGCCAGATGCTAAGTCATTCTTTTCATTTTTTAATTTTATTTATTTATTTTTTTTGAGACAGAGTCCCACTCTGTTGCCCAGGATAGAGTGCTGTGGCGTCAGCCTAGCTCACAGCAACTTCAAACTCCTGGGCTCAAGCGATCCTTCTGCCTCAGCCTCTCGAGTAGCTGGGACTACAAGCATGCACCACCATGCCCGGCTAATTTTTTCTATATATTTTCAGTTGGCCAATTAATTTCTTTCTCTTTTTAGTAGAAACGGGGTCTCGCTCTTGCTCAGACTGGTTTCAAACTTCTGACCTTGAGTGATCTGCCTGTCTTGGCCTCCCAGAGTGCTAGGATTTTAGGCGTGAGCCACCGCACCCAGCCCAGAACATTATCTTTTTTTTATCTTACTAAGAAACTTATTTTTTCTTACATTATTTAAATAAATATATTACATACCTTTTTTCTTAGCTTTGGCATAATGAAATGGAACTAGGAACTTTCTGACACCTTTTGACTTTTCACACTCTTTTTTCAAAATGGTTGAAGAATAGATGATACGAATGTGTTGGTTGATCTCTCTATCAGGAGAACTCAAAAATTCTGGGTAATCATCAATCTGGAAAAAAAAAGATTAATTGATCTCATTGAAGACAAATACAACTGCTTACCTATTCTGGGATAATAAATCCCCCGAAGCTAAGGGTAAGTTTAAAGTGCGTTCATTTTTTTTTTTTTTCTGTTTTTTCCACTAGTCTATCTTTCCTCTTCTTGTTGTTAGGCGTCCCAATTCTTCCTTTATTTGTTTTAGTCCTTACTAAAAATATGCTCAGCAACAGAACCCAAGAAACTATTTACACTGTAGAACTGCTGAATAAATAGTAACTGCTTTTATTTGTTAAAATATATCCCTCCTCACTTCCATTTTAAATATAGACTTTTTTTTTTTTTTGAGACAGAGTCTTACTCTGTTGCCTGGGCTAGAGTGCCGTGGCATCAGCCTAGCTCACAGCAACCTCAAACTCCTGGACTCAAGCGATCCTCCTGCCTCAGCTTCCCGAGTAGCTAGGACTACAGGCATGTGCCACCATGCCCGGCTAATTTTTTCCATGTATTTTTAGTTGGCCAGTTAATTTCTTTCTCTTTTTAGTAGAAACAGAGTCTCGCTTCTTGCTTGGGCTGGTTTCGAACTTCTAACCTTGCGCGAGCCGCCCGCCTCAGCCTCCCAGAGTATTAGGATTACAAGCGTGAGCCACTGCGCCTGGCCTAAAATAGATTTTTTTTAAAAGGGTTTAAATGAAGATTTTTCTATGCAGGAGACAATGTCCATTTACAGATTCTGTGAATGCAAATATCTAGGTTTAAATTATTGGAAATGTTCTTCTCTCCAAAGTGCTCTGTTTTCTTTTCTTTTTTTTTTTTTTTTTTGAGACAGAGTCTCACTTTGTTGTCCAGGCTAGAGTGAGTGCCGTGGCGTCAGCCTAGCTCACAGCAACCTCAAACTCCTGGGCTCGAGTGATCCTTCTGCCTCAGCCTCCCGAGTAGCTGGGACTACAGGCATGTGCCACTATGCCCGGCTAATTTTTTATATATATATATCAGTTGGCCAATTAATTTCTTTCTGTTTATAGTAGAGACGGGGTCTCGCTCTTGCTCAGGCTGGTTTTGAACTCCTGACCTTGAGCAATCCGCCCGCCTCGGCCTCCCAAGAGCTAGGATTACAGGCGTGAGCCACAGCGCCCGGCCTGTTTTCTTTTCTTGATTAAAAGGGAAAAGGTCTCATAAACACTTAAGACTTTTATATCTTCTCTTTAATAACCTACTTCCCTTTTTATAACAATCAGCAGTAGCATCTGATTGAAAAGTTAGGAGTAAGACGGGTGAGTTGGTGAGTGCCTGTAGTCCCAGCTACTCGGGAGGCTGAGGCAAGAGGATCACTTGAGCTCAAGAGTTGAAGGCTACAGTGAGCTATGATGATGCCACTGCACTCCAGCTTAGGCAACAGAGCAAGAACCCATCTCTGAAAAAAGAAAGACTTTGAATTGAGAGAAAAAATATTAGTCAATATCCTATTTAGTTTATCCATCCAGATTGCATATGCTTTTCATTGTCTTTGAACCATTTCATAATGTTATAATTTGCATAAAATTTTTGTAGTTTTAAAAAATATATAGAAACTTAAATTTTCTATGTGATAAAGTTATAACTATCAAATTTTATCCTAATTCTTTCTTTCTTTCTTTCTTTCTTTCTTTCTTTCTTTCTTTCTTTCTTTCTTTCTTTCTTTCTTTCTTCTTTTTTTTTTTTTAGAGATGGGTCTCACTCTGTCACCCAGGCTAGACTACAGTAGTGTGATTATAGCTCACTGTAACCTCACTCTCCTGGGCTCACAGGATCCTCCCACCTCAGCCTCTCAAGTAGCTAAAACTACAGGCCCACATCACTGCACCTTTTAAATTTTTTGTAGAGACAGGGTCTTGTTATGTTGCCCAGGGTAGCCTTGAACTTTTGGCTTCTTGGCCTCAAGTGATCCTCCCACTGTGGCCTCCCAAAGTGATCAAATTATATGCATGAGCCACCTCACCCAACCTATTTCTTCCTTTGATATATGTCTAGAATGCAGCAGGTCAAGGTGGCTTAGGCCTATAATCCCAGCACTTTGGGAGGCCAAGGCAGCAGGATTGCTTGAGGCCAGGAGTTCAAGACCAGGCTAAGCAAAACAGTGAGACCTCATCTCTACAAAAAATAAGAAAAAAAAATTAGCTGTGCATGGTGGTGCACATTTGTAATCCTAGCTACTCAAGAGGCTAAGGTGGGAGGATCACTTGAGCTCAGGAGCTGGAGGTTACATTGAGCTATCATCATGCCACTGTACTCCAGCCTGGGCAACAGAGCAAGACCCTATCTCTTATTAAAAAAAGAAAAAATAAATGCCACCCTGAAGTCATGTAAATATTCATCTATATATTATTATCCATTTTCTGCTGCTATAACAGAATACCACAGACTGAGTAATTTACAAAGAACAGAAGTTTATTTGCCTCATGGTTCTGGATACCGAGAAGTCCAAGAACATGGTGCTGGCATCTGGCGAGGGTCATACCACGGCAGAGGTAAAAGGGCAAGCAGTGGGTGAGACAGAGAGAGGAAATCAAGCTGAACACATCCTTTTTATCAGGAACCCTCTCCTGAGATAATAGCATTAATCTGCCCTCATGAGCTAATCACTTCTCAGAGGTCCCACATCCAATACCATTCCACTGGCAATTAAATTTCAACATGAGTTTTGGGGAAGACATTCAAACAACACCAACTTCCTTTACAGCTTCTTCTTTTACATAAATTCTCCAATCCCTGTGAAATCCATATGAGAGTATTCTTAGGACTCTGATCTAACTAGTTGTGACTCCAAGTGTACTTAGTATTAATCTGATGAAAATTATGCTTTAAGTAGAGAATGAGTGCAAATAAGTAGGTAAATATTTATGAATCAAAGTGCTTATTAGCTGTTTCAGAGGAACAAAGTATTTATAATAATTTGAATAATAATGACACAGTTTATGAAACACAACACATAGATCATCTTATATAATCCTTACGACAAACCCATGAGGTAGTTATTACTAACCCTATTTTGCAAACAAGGAAACTGAGGTTCAGAAAGAGTTAAGTTCACAAAACTAGCAAATGGTAGAACTAGAATTATAAGACATGCAGTCTGTCTCCAGAGCCAATTTTATGAAACCAACTAAGATTAAAGACCACATCTCCACTAGGAGTCAGAGTGGGAATTTTATTTTAATTTTTGGGGGGATAAAAGGTTTTCTTCTAAAAGCAACAGTGGGCAGGGCACAGTGGTTCACACCTATAATCCTAACACTCTGGGAGGCCGAGGGGGGAGGATCGCTCAAGGTTAGGAGTTCAAAACCAGCCTGAGTAAGAGCGAGACCCCCGTCTCTACTATAAAATTAGAAAAAAATTAATTGGCCAACTAATATATATATAGAGAGAAAAAATTAGCCGGGCATGATGGCACATGCCTGTAGTCCCAGCTGCTCAGGAGGCTGAGGCAGTAGGATTGCTTGAGCCCAGGAGTTTGAGGTTGCCGTGAGCTAGGCTGACGCCACGGCACTCTAGCCCAGGCAACAAAGTGAGACTCCGTCTCAAAAAAAAAAAAAAAACAGCAACAGTGGAACCCAAACTGTAATCAAGCAGCTGGATTCACTATTATGTCAGAGTTTCAACCACATTATGATAATTCCTCTAATTCCTTTGTTTTGAAGGAAGTAGAGTCAGACCTCTTTTTTAGTTACAGTAATCATCGAACTTGGTAAACTTCGTCATTCAAGAACACGATACCTTCCTTCAATACGCGATAGCCAGGTGTGGTGGCACACCTGTAATCCTTTGGAGGTCAAGGAGTTTGAGACCCTGTCTTTAAAAACAAAACAAAACAACCAAAAATACCACTCTGGTAGCATTCATATAAAGCATTCATGTAAATTTTTTCCATATTCATTGGCACAGAAACATGTCCATGATATACTGTAAACTGAAAATAGCAGATTACAAAACAATTTGTAGAGTATGGTTCCATGTGTGTGTGTATTAATACACAGAAAATAGTTTGGTATGTTGTACATCAAATTTTCTTGTGTGTGACTAGCTGTGGTTATCTCTGGATGGTGGGATTATAAATATATATATATATATGTTTTTAATTCTAAGAATGATCTACATGATATGATAGAGGCAGCTGTTTGGCTGATTTGTTTTGTTGCTGTTTTCAATATTTCAACCAGTGATCCTGGCATCTCACAGTCATAAAACACAAATATGTGCATTCTTCCCTGAAAACTTGTCACCAACGAACTGGGGGGCTGGAGGGCAATAAGGATAATGTCTAACATGACTCATGAAGATAGTTTATGTTTACAGCAATCTAACTTTTTTTTTTTTTTTTAAGACAGAGTCCCGCTTTGTTGCCCAGGCTAGAGTGAGTGCCCTGCCGTCAGCCTCGCTCACAGCAACCTCAAATTCCTGGGCTCAAGCGATCCTCCTGCCTCAGCCTCCCAAGTAGCTGGGACTACAGGCATGCACCACCATGCCCGGCTAATTTTTTCTATATATATTAGTTGGGCCAATTTGAATTCTTTCCTTTATAGTAGTGACGGGGGGTCTCGCTCAGGCTGGTTTTGAACTTCTGACCTCGAGCAATACCGCCCGCCTCGGCCTCCCAGAGTGCTAGGATTACAGGCGTGAGCCACCGCACCTGGCCTAGCAATCTACCTTTAAAGAGCCATTTCTGGGTGGCGGGGGGGGGGGATGGGATTTATGAACTTAAAATCTGTACCCCCATAATATGCCGAAATAAAAAATAAATAAATAAATAAATAAATAAATGAGAAAACAAAAAAATAAATAAATAAAGAGCCATTTCTATACATCCCGCAAGGCCACCATCACTGTAAGGAGGTGACAGATGATTACACTGATTGCTGTCACACAGCCAAGGGGACACATTTGTGTCTGTACAAGGAGAGATGATGACAGATGTGATAAAAAGAAAGTAGCTATGAATAGTGGTAGTGCCAAAATGATCTATCACTTTTCATTTCCTTCATTCTCTCTCATTGGTTCATTCAACAATCATAATCTCAGTTGCAAAGCCTATGGCTACAAAATTGTAAACAGATCAACATTCTTACGAAAACATTTAATTCAACTTGGACTTGAATTAAAAGCACAAACTGTTAAAGAGAGGAAGGTGGTTTCTTCCTCTTTCTCTTTTTTATTTGCTTTTGATAAAGATCAGGACATACTACCCCAAAATATGGCACCTTGCCATGCTGAGTATTTTAAACTGAAGGAATTTGAGGAAGGACATGTACACAAAGGGCTTTTTGACCTTCCCCTGAAGCAGGTCATAAAATCCAGGAAGGATTTTCTGACTTTCCTTTGAAGCAGGCTAAAGACCCTCATGTGAAAATTGCCCTCTCTCTAACCAGAGGAAAGGAACAAGAATGGAAACAGCCTAAACAGCCTTGCTCGGTTTCCCCCAGTTCAGCGCACTTGGCTCATACGGTTTCTTTGTCCCAGCATATTTCTCCATGACTTTCCACTCTTCATCAAGCTTAGCATAAAAACATCCAGGTTTAACCACTTCTTAGGGTCTTCATTTCCTTATGAAAATGCCTGCGTTACATAAAACTTACATTAAATACATTTACATGCTTTTCTCTTGCTAATCTGTCTTTTGTTACAGGGCCCCCAGCCAAAGAACCTAAGATGAGTAGAAGGAAATTTTCCTTCTACTAAAAATCTTTTTATAAAGATCACAGCATATTTGTGAAATGTAAGAGGACCTCCTAGGAGCTAAACAAGCCTAATTTACACATCTGTGGGGGGTAAAGAGTTTTCTGGAAGCTTCTCCACTGTGAGCACTGAACAGGGCAAGAAAGCTTAGTCCAAAGAACATGCTTCATTTTAGACATAGTATTATTCAAAAAAATTTTTTGCATTTACATCAGAGGCATCTTCAGAAAATTTAAAAGGCAAAACCTCCATTTTACCCCAAAGCATGAAAAGATAGATGATAAATAGAAAAATAGATAGATAGGAAGGATATTTTAATGGCCCAGTGGAATTATTTTGTTTAAAATTTTCTAACTTCATGTCTTAAAATAAGCTCAAAATATTATGAGAAAAATTCTATTTTGTAAATGGATATTTTGCTTATTTAGGTTGGGAATAAGATTTTTCATGATTTCATACAGAATTGAATTTATATTTTTAGGACTGTTTGTCAGAGCTGAAAGAGCTGCTTTTATCAAGACCCTATTTAGCACAGGTAATAATATCTGAGTAATATCTACATGAAAATAATTTATAAGTCCAAATCAGGACACTAACATTTTTTTCTAAGATTTGCTGACAAAAACTTTTAATATAATAATTAAATCATACTATTTATATATATTTGATGAATCACCTCTTTCAATTATAATTGCATAAGATTGTTATTGACCCAGTGCTATCCTTGTATGCCCCACTAACATAAATAGTAACTTTAGCTGTCTTTTCTCATTAGAAACTGAGGCTGGGGAAGTTGGAGTTATTTGCAAATGGCCTCCTAAATTCTCACTCCCAGTCAATATTATAAAAATTCTCTCAAACAATGCCTAAGTTATAGCACTTTCTAATATTTGGCCTGACTTTCTTTGCCTCTAAGGGGTTATATAGTACCAACTATATAACCCCTATCACTGGTGGTTTGGAGCCAAGTGGTGCACCAACTGTTATTCTCCCAGTAAAATCTGGCCCTTGGGAAAAATCTAAAACAATTATGTTACCTTTTCTTACCTGGAAAAAAAGGAAACCATACTGGCTCACTAGTCAGGTGCACCTTCTCTCAATCTGTGAGGTTAAAAGGATAGGAAAGTATGCAGGAAAAGGTTAACTCAGGAGGCCTGAGTTGCTCAAACCCTGCACTTCTAAAAAAAAGGCCTGTCTTCAGGACTGGCCCTTGACTCACTCTGGGGAGATAGTCTCTGAGCCTGGGAATATTTTGCCCACAACAGTGTTTTTGTATGTCTAAGACCTTGGGCCATCCTGTACCAGTTTGACCAGTAAGTCTATCCTGACAATGTGATTTATGGCAACCCTCTGTTTTTTGCTCAAAGATGCGGGGCAGTGAAGAGGTGAAGGGGCTGGAGTCTGAGTGGCCGAAGTCAGTAAGTTAATTATGCAGGTGCTGCGTGTCTGCGTGACTGACCGCCAATAAAAACTCTGAACACCAAAGCTTGGGTGAGCTTCCTTGGTTGGCAATACTTTGTACATGTTGCCACATGTGGGTGGGAGAATTAAACATGCCCATGCTACCCCACTGGGAGAGGACACCTGGAAGCCTGTACCTAGTTTCTCCTGGATTTTATCTCATGCACCTTTCCCTTTGCTAACTCTAATCTGTATCCTTTCTCTGTAATAAATGCAACTGTGAGTGTAACAGCTTTTCTGAATTCTGTGGGTACTTTTAGTGAATCGGCAAGCAGGACAGTGGGCTTGGGAACCCTCTACACAGTAGGACAACCACACCCAGGCAGAAGGCCATTGGCTGTCTAGACTACTTTGGTCTGCCTCCTTTGGGTACTACACGGCCTTATCCTATCCCAGGCTTTAAGTCAGAGAGGAGCCAGTCCACCTTCTTCTTCCAAGGACTCAAGATTCTGATTCTTGTGGCCAGATTCTCCCAAGCACGAATATGGGGAAAAGAAAAAAATTAAATGTTCCAACTATGTCACATAGGATATAAGAACTCACACTTATTGAGTGCTCAATACATGCTCTTTTTGGTTTTTTTTTTGTTTGTTTTGTTTTGTTTTTGAGACAGAGTCTCGCTTTGTTGTCAAGGCTAGAGTGAGTGCCGTGGCGTCAGCCTAGCTCACAGCAACCTCAAACTCCTGGGCTCAACGCGTCATCTGCCTCAGCCTCCCCGAGTAGCTGGAACTACAGCATGCCGCAGCCCATTGCACGGTTAATTTTCTTTTCTTTATTATAGTATATCAGGTGGCCAATAAAGTCTTGCTATTATAGTAGAGACGGGTGGTTCGCTACTTGCTAGGCTGGTTTTGAACTCCCGACCTGAGCAATCCGCCCGCCTCGGCCTCCCAAGAGCGTAGGATTACAGGCGTGCCACAGCGCCCGGCCTCTTTTGTTTTTTGAGACAGAGTCTCACTTTGTTGCCAGGCTAGAGTGAGTGCCGTGCGTCAGCCTAGCTCACAGCAACTCAAACCCTGGCTCAAGCAATCCTGCTGCCTCAGCCTCCCAAGTAGCTGGGACTACAGGCATGCGCCACCACACCCGGCTAATTTTTTCTATACATATTAGTTGGCTGATTAATTTCTTTCTATTTATAGTAGAGACCGGGTCTCGCTCTTGCTCAGGTTGGTTTCGAACTCCTGAACTCAAACGATCCGCCCGCCTCAGCCTCCCAGAGACCTAGGATTACAGGCGTGAGCCAATACATGCTCTTTTAAGTGCCTTATAGGTATTATCTCACTGAATCCTCATAAATCCCATGTGTTGTTAAAACCATTTCCATTTTATAAGAGAATACAAGGAACCTAAGGCTCAGAGAGTTAAGTTACTTGCTCAAGTTTCCACTGCTACTAAGTGGCAGACCAGAGATTCAAAATGAAGCTTATACTTGTACACAATACACACAATAACTTCTTAACTTGTACACAATAACACACAAAATATAAAACATACAGATATCAGGAAACTAAAATACTATGGATCTAAAAATAAAATTGCTTTTATTATGAGATAGGACAATGTCACAATAAAGTGGATTTTTCTATTCTCACTATGAGACAGTGTTTAAAGAGAGTTACTCTACTACAGAAATATGATTACTATGATAACAAATGTCACACACAACACTCAAAAATTCCAAATTTCCTAATTACTGAATTGACCCATTATGCTCCAGTGGCTCTTATTTCTTATTCATTCTCATAAATTGTCCACCTGCGGAGTTCCTGTCAAAGAGGAAACAGGAAGGAGAACTTCAGCCTACCAAAGCCTAAAAAATGAACTTAACACAATGTACACAGGTCAGGATTAAAATCGCTTAGAAATCAGATTCCTGAGGGGACAGTATTGAAGTGTCCTAAAGGAAAGCCATCAGGCAAATAGCAATCTAATTAACTAACATAAATTATTCTAATTAAATTTTTATGGACCAATTCATTGTTTTGTGCTCTAATTGTTAAGTACATTATCGCCAAGCTAGGTAATCACAGTTGACACCTTGACAGAAATTTGGAAGGATGGGGAAACTCTCTGAACCAGCAGACTGGAAATCTGACTTTTGCTGTGGCCTCCACTACGCACTATCAGAGTGACTTTGGTCCAGTTACTTAATCTATTTTGGCTTTGATTTCCTCATGTAGAAAACGAGGAAATAAAGAATAGGTTTGAACTCTCTTTTAACTTGAACAAAACACAAAAACTTTGTTTTTTTTTCAATATAAAACTATATTATAACTTTACAATATTAAAACTTTTTTTGTTTTTTTGTTAAATTTCTCTGGCCCAGAGGTTTGTATGATACAATATTAAAACTTAATTGTGCTAATGCTTATATTCAGGAAATGTATTTATATGATCAGAAAGAACCAGATGGGCATCTTTGCAAAGATGCAGACAAAGAGCATCTGCAGAGCCTTATTTTTGAGGATGAGGGTTTATCTACATAGCTCTGTAATTACCTGTGCATTTCATTAAGAACATTCCTTATGAAAAAATCCCAAAGAATCTATACTTTGTGAAAGATACTGGCACTAGCAAACCTACAAGAAATACTAAAGGGAGTCCTTCGGATTGAAATAAAGGAACTTAGGGAGTAACTTGAATGCAAATAAAGAAATGAAGAACATTCTTAAAGATAACTACATAGGTAAAAATAAGAAAGTGAAAATGTATTTTTGTTTGTAACTCTTTTATGTTTTATATAATTTAAAAGACAACTGCATAAAGCGATAACTATAAATCTGTGTTAATGGACACACAATATAGAAAATGTAATTTGTATGACAATAGCACAAAGGAGGGAGAGCTATATAGAAGCAAAATTTTTGTACTAAATTTTTACAAATTAAGATGCTAATTATAACAATTCTAAAATACTTAGGCAACCACAATAGACTCTGAATAGCCAAAACAATCTTGAGAAAGAAGAACAAAGCTAGAGGCATCACATTTCCTGATTTCAAAATATATTATAAAGCTATAGTAACTTAAAAAGTATGTCACTAGCATAAAAACACACATATAGACCAATGGAACAGAATAGAGAACTCAGAAATAACCCCATGCCTATGTGGTCAATTGATCTTCAACAAGGATACCAAGAAAATACATGGGGATAGAATACTCTCTTCAACAAATGATATTAGGAAAACTGGATATCCATATGCAAAAGAAAGAAACTGTACCCATATCTGCTTACACCATACACAAAATCAACTCAAAAAGGATTAAATACTTAAACGTTAAGACCTGAAACTGTAAAACTCCTAGAAGAAAATATAGGCGGAAAACTTCATGACATTGGTCTTGGCAATGATTTCATGGATATGACACCAAAAGCACAAGCAATAAAAGTAAAAATAGACAAGTGGGACTACACGAAACTAAAAATCTCTGAACATCAAAGGAAATAATCAACATAGTGAAAAGGCAATCTACAGAACAAGAGAAAGTATTTGCAAACCATGTATCTGTATCTGGGTTAATACCCAGAATATATAAGAAACTTCTACAATTCAACAGCAAACAAAAAAAAAAGTCAAATAATACAATTTAAAAATGGGCAGCAGGGCATGGTGACTCATGCCTATAATCCTAGCACTTTGGGAGGCCAAGATGGGAGGATTGCTTGAAGCCAGGAGTTCGAGACCAGCCTGGGCAACATAGCAAGATCCTGTCTCTACAAAAAGAGAAAAATTTCTACAGGTGACACACACCCGTAGTCATAGCTACTCGGGAGGCTAAGGCAGGAGGAATGCTTAAGCCCAGGAGTTTGAGGGTACAGTGAGCTATGATAATGCCACTGAACTCTGGCCCAGGCAACAAAGCAGAACCCTATCTCAAAAAATAATAATAATGAATAAAAAAATAAAAATTAATTAAAAAACTAAAATGGACAAAGGACTTGAATTTCTCCAAAAAAGACATAAGACCAGAACTTATGGGGCACACAGAATCTAAAGTATTTGTTGTTGGACCTTTTACAGAAAAAGCTTGCTGACCTCAGGAATAAAGGGCATTTTCAGAAGAGAAAATAATACAAGTTGCTAAAGTAGACATAAGAATATGAAGGAAAAAAAGTCCAGCTTCAGGGAAGGGAAAGCCCTGGATGAAATATAGTCACATAGACAAATGCTTAATACATGAAATTAACTTGAAGCTTCAAGACTGGAAGTTTGGAAGAAGAGAATGTAGTATCAAACAAGAACGGAAACCACCTCCCTTGTAGAAGAGGTAATAATGGACATTTTAATAATGGGTACTTTCAGGCCGGGCGCAGTGGCTCACGCCTGTAATCTTAGCACTCTGGGAGGCCAAGATGGGTGGATCATTTGAGCTCAGGAGTTTGAGACCAGCCTGAGCAAGAGTGAGACCCCGTCTCTACTAAAAATAGAAAGAAATTAATTGGCCAACTAAAAATATATAGAAAAAATTAGCCGGGCATGGTGGCGCATGCCTGTAGTCCCACCTACTTGAGAGGCTGAGGCAGAAGGATCGCTTGAGCCCAGGAGTTTGAGGTTGCTGTGAGCTAGGCTGATGTCATGGCACTCTAGCCTGGGCAACAGAGTGAGACTCTGTCTCAAATAATAATAATAATAATGGGTACTTTCAACTTCATCACCCTGTCCTTCCATCATATGCTAAGTGTCATCTATGTGTCTGGTGATATTCTACACGGTAAGCACACACATCTGGAGATGGCTAGACTACGTGGACTATTGCATTCCAGGAGCTTCACAATATATTAAGTCCTATAATAGAAGCATGAACAAGCTTCTGCTCAAGCACAAAAGAAATAGTTTTTGAGTTAAGATCAAAAGAGTTAACATATGTAAAGTGCTTAGAACAGCGTCTGGCACATAGTAGGCATTCAATAATTGTTAGTTATAATTATCTAGCTTGCTTAATGAAGAAGCAAGCTGCCCGTGAACATGTGTTAATAGGATGGACCAAGTTCTTTCATTCATTACACAATTCTTTAAGTGCCTGCTGTGTGCTGGGCCCTGTGCTGCATGCTAGAGAAACAGTCCAAATCCTCAAGGAGTTGCCAAGTCAGTGAGAGGTGGGGAGATGGGCAAGCCAACACACTGACAGAAGAGAGAGTAAGTGTGAGAAATGTATGGAAGGTGCATGCACATGATGCCATGG